TAAGATTAAATGTCCACTGAGGCCCCTTCCTGCTGATGTTAATAGAGCCACATCATCAGTCCTGGTTTTCCTTTATCCCAGCCTCCGGTGTGCCCAGATGTGGAGTCAGGCATTAAGGCTGAAGTTAAAAGGACAGAGGGCCAAATGATACCTAAATCCTATGATGAAACTACCACAGAGGTCCTTCCATGAGAAAAAGGATGTAAACTATACAAAGCGTCCGAACAAAAATAAACATTTTTCTGTCAAAGGGAGTGGGGTAAGGAGAATAGATTTGTAGAATTCTAGCCATGGGAAGGAGCTTAGGTCCCGCAGGAGGTGGTAGCCCAGCCCCTGCAGCACCTTTGCAGGCCAAAGAAGAGGGGTAGCTCAGTCACGGATGTCAGAGACCGTCAGTGTGAACTCGTAGGGAGAGGCAGGAGGTGCCACCTGGCAGGACACTTTCCTCTGGGGACTGAGAGCAGCCATGTGGACAAGAGTCAGGGCCACGCCTGAGCCCAGTGTGAGCCTTAGCATGGGATGGGACATGACGGTGTGCAGACCAGGTACCAAAAACCTCCCTGTGTCGGGCAGAAATAGCGGGCATGGGTCATGCCGACAAGCCTCGCGTGGCCTCCAGCCGGATGAGGGGATGAGGCCCCATCTCCGAGGTCCAGCCGGGGCCTGCAGGAGGGACGGCTGGCAACCTCAGAAGTGGGGCTGGGGCGGGATGGAGATGGATTTGGAGTTCCAGGTGACAAAGCAGGTAGGATGCTAAGACTGTGATCCCCCCTTCCCCGCCCCCATGCTGTTCACTATGCCCAGGTCTGACGTGCAGGCGTTGACAAAAAGAGCAAATGACTCCAGACCCTTAAAACGCCAACAGTAAGAGCAGCGACAACAACGCAAATACCCAGATTTCTGAGCCGTGGAGCCCCACAAGTGTTGCTTTGATTTCTGAAGAGCTTTATCTGAGATCAACGTCTTCTAGGCCCAGAGGCTGGATTTCTGCTGCTGTCATACATGCACCTTGTCGTTTCTCCTGAACCGGGGCTTGTGGGGGGGAGCTTGGGAGCCTTCTTCTCCAGTAAATGCAGACTCCTAGCTTGAGGTTCCCGGATGGCCTGGCTAAGCGGTGGGCTGTGGGCCACAGCACCATCACCCCCTGGGCTGCTCATTCTGCGTGTACATTTATTGACTCCAACCTCCTGGATCCGATGTCCAGAGTTCGAGCGCAGGAATCTGCGATTCGCAAGCTCAGTGGCCCAGTGTGTTTTGGGAGCCCTCACTTTAGTGTCTTCCTGGAAGCTCAGATGTCTTATTTGGGGGACATGACTGGCTCCCAACAAGCTTAAAGGCAGGTGGCCATCTTTAAAGACGGGTCTAGAATATCTTGACTCAGGTTATCCCTTAGCCTGCCTCTGGTGTGCTCTCTGAGGACCCATTCAGTGAGACACCCACTTCCCCACACCCTTTTGTGCCCTCCGACGAGTGATCTCATAAGTTCCTGCTCCCGGGATGACAACTGCTTGATCACTCAGGCCAGACTGCAGCCCATCTTAAAAATGTCTTTGGAGGACTGCATGCTTCTTAGGCACCGTCTGAATTCCTTTACGTGTGTTTATTTGTTCCATGACAATGCTACGTGGTAAATACTATTTTATGTTCCTCGTTTAGCAGGGGAAGAAACTGCAGTCTGAAGAGGTTAATGGACTTGCCCAGAGCTGGGGTTGAACCCAGGCGGTCTGCTGCGGGGGCCGGGCTTCGGGCAGCCCAGGCTAATCCTCTGCACAAGGGCCTGTGGGGGAAGGAGGATATGGGGTTGTGTGCTGCCTTTCTTTCGGGGAAGCCTCTCTGGAACGCCAAGCATCCAGGCTGTTGGCTACCATTTCTGGGGCCCTGGCAATCTCTCTGGCTTTCGTTTTGCTGTTGCATGTGTAGGAGACTGGCTTTTGCCTAAAATTCCGGCTCCGCCTCAACATCAACACAGACATTAGGCAGAGTGTGCCCGTAACACCTTGTCAACGTTCTTCCTTGACTCGGAAAGCCCACCTTCTCGGCTGCCGTGTGTGTGGGCAGACGCAATCTCACATTCTGGGAAGCATTTACCCAGGGTGTGCAAGCGCAGGGAAAATCCTTGAGGCCAGTGATTCTCAACTTGAGATGCTTGTGTTGTAATGACCTCGTAGCTTTGAACCGACCAGCTGCCCAAGCCACATGGCAGTCGGCGACAGCTGATGGTCTGGTGGTGACCAAGCTCCTTCGGGGACAGCAACGTGCAGCCAGTCTCCGCCACTGGGGGCCGGGGAGCCCCCGTTGCAGGCTGAGCGGTAGCTGTGGGAAGACAGCTGTTGTCTCGGACTGATCGTGTGGCTCTTTGTGCCTGATGTGTCCCTTGCTTCCTCTTTCCCTCCCCCTTTCCAGGGGCTCCTGTTTGAACTGGGAGAGCACGCCAGCTGCGTTATTCAGGCCCTGGAGTCTAGCGTCGGGCTGCACCAGGATTCAATGAAAGGGTAGCCCTGTGTTTACCATCCCACAAATTTTTATCTATTCAGTAGATTTGCACCGTGGTAACGGACATTCTGTCTGTCTTAGGATGCTCTTCTTTTCCCGCACCTGGAACTTTGGAACCCCGCAGTCTGAGGTGTCTTATCCACTGGGGCTTGGAATCAGGGAGAAAGCAAAGTGCCAAGGTGTGGGGAAAGGCTGAAGTCCTTCAGGACTTTTATTGCAGCGCAGTGAACTGTAGGAGAAAGGAAGCAGAGAGCTTCCGAGCAACACATCTGAGGCAGAGTGTGACTTACCATGCCCCTCCCCTGACGAGTTTCACGGCCGTGGTCACCCCGGGAGCGAGAGGTCACTGCACCGTCCAGGCAGGTTACGAGAACCGGAGCCAACTGTGAAGCACTCACCGCGGAGGGCTTCGAGTCTCTCTTCCTTGTTCTTTCTCTTCTCCTTCATTGTCTTAGCTCCCCCTCCCCCTACCTCCACGTCTCCCTCTCTTGTTCTCTTTCAGTGTTAAGCCTTGTTCAGAACATCCATTTGGGAGATCTTCCTGACAACGTGCTGGGCTCCTTGAAATCCCTGTGTCCCTATAGAATCCGCCCATCCTACCGGTGCCTGCATTCTTTGGACTCACCTGGGGGGCCCAATGCTAACAAGAAGGCAGACTGAGCACAGTGCAAACACCTCTTCCTTCTGTGTCCCAATCTTTTGCCTATTATATGTATTTTTCTGTTCAAATCTATCTATAATTGAATAAATGGTTAGAATAAGAAAAGCTTCTGAAGTAATCACTTTAAGCCAACCTTACATTTAAAAAATAAGATGCAAAAGGTTTGGGAGAGGGGAGCCTGGGTGGCTCGGTGGGTTAAGGCCTCTGCCTTCAGCTCAGGTCATGATCTCAGGGTCCTGGGATCGAGCCCCGCATCGGGCTCTCTGCTCAGCGGGGAGCCTGCTTCCTCCTCTCTCTCTGCCTGCCTCTCTGCCTATTTGTGGTCTCTCTCTGTTAAATAAATAAATAAAATCTTTAAAAAAAAAGGTTTGGGAGACAGTCATTTGAAAGCAAATTTAAGCGCACATCTTTTTTTAAAGAAAATATTTTATTTATTTATTTGAAAGAGAGAGAGAGAGAAAGCACTAGCAGGGGGAAGGGAAAGGGGAGAGAGAGAATCAGACTCCCCAGTGGGCGGGGAGGCCAATGCGGGGCTCGATCCCAGGACCCTGGAATCATGACCCTAACCGAAAGCAGATGCTTAACTGACTGAGCCACCCAGGTGCGTCTTAACTGTGCATCATTAAAAAAAACAAAAAAAGAAAAAAACCCAAACTTTCTCAGAAATGTACTAACCATTTGTAATAGTCCTATTATCTTGTACGTTTGGAATATGCTACCCACATGATGGTTCTTCTAGTCGATTGAGAAATAACCTTTATTACCAATTTTTCATTGGTTGTCCATGGGAAAAGTCATGATGAGACCATCATGAGTTAGCTCGAGATCCTTTTCACATGGAAGTGTCATGTTTTACGTAGATGTGCGTGTGCTGCGAAACACAGAATCGGGATGTCAGACTGAGCTTGTTCTCCGTTCTAGGTATTCTGGGTATAAAACAGAGTCCGACTGTGTGTCCTGTTGAGGAAATGAAAACAGCAGCTTTTGGAGCCTCGAGGACCATTGATCTCCATCCTCCCTTTCCTTGCTTCTTAATCAAATGTACACACACGCACACTTCACTTTAGACATCATGAGACCACCTTCAGAAATGTTAATGAAGGGAAAAGCCCCCCATAATGTTGTTACTATGATAAGAACACTTATTTTTTGGAGGTATTCCTTAAACATTTTTTTTTCCCAAGCAAGTTACTTCTTTAAAAAAATAGTGTACAAAAAAAAATAGTGTACAGACAAATTTACGTTATTTTTTCTCTTATAGGCTCATAAGCATTTTTACAAGTTGTAGCATAAAGTTTGCAACCGGCCTCGTGAGTGGCTGTCCATTCTGTGGGGTGGATGCAGAGATGGGATGATGTTCTGCAACACACCCCGATTTTCTAATTTCACTCTCCTTAGTAACGTCGTGGTTGTCCCTGTGAGGAAAACCTCCTCTGCACCGCCCGCCACCCCAAAGCCTCCTCTGCAGTCATCCCACCACCCCCACCTGCCCCGAGCCACTGCTGGTATTTCAGGACATTTACCGAGACTGGATTTCTGGGATGTGACTGCTGTGATTTGCCAAGCACGGCTGCACGAGGCTGTTGGAGCACCAGCAGGCACTGTGGAGTCTCTAATAAATAACCCACATTGATCTCTCATTTTGTGATTTATTTTGTTGTTTTTTTTATTCTCTTTGAGCTCTGATTCATGGCTCCACGGGGTGATTTTGGAAAATCATTTACCCGTCAGCCACAGCACGCTGACCATGGCCTATAAAAGGTCAAGGGGGAACAGACCCAAGGTGGGATCTCAGCCGCTCGTCCTCTTTCCAGGACCGTAGCCCAGATTCCGCACACAGTGACCCCAGGGAGGAAACATGGATAAGTTGTTGCTGTGTCTCCCGGTCATCGTTAACCTCCCTGGCTCTTTCTTCCAAGGCAGTAGGTGCTTTGCTTCAGATGGTCGCTGAGCTCTTGTCTCTGGACTGCATGGTGCAAAGCCATGGGAGAATGGCCAACAATGGTGGTCTGGGGAAGGGGGCAATCTGGCTTCTAAGTCCGTTCTATCCTATCCACACATGGTGGGAGAAGACGTCTTCGTGGCCTGATAAGCTATTAAAAAAGAGACCACTGGCCCCCATGGAATGACTTGGGTGACTTAACACCTAACCTGACTGCAGGGGCCAGCGCCCCTGCCCTCCCACCCCCGGAGTATAACCTTTAACCAGTCAGTCTGGATTTACCCGCTCTGCACTGGTGAGGTTGTGGGCCTGAGAGTGGCCCTCCCTTTCCCCATAGGAAGGTGATTGCCTGAGATAATCTGCTCTTTGCAAGAAACATTTTCTTCTGGAACCTTCTGCATACTACGCTGCTCCTCAGAGCTCCTTCTTATCTGCTAGATGGGGTGCTGCCCAAATCATGAATCAGTGACTAAAGCCAAGTAGACCCTTCAATGTACTCATGTGAATTTTGTTTTTTAACATAACTCAGCTGCTGACACTTTCTTTCTCTGTTTTCTCTCCTGCAGACACATGCAGAAAGGCCTTTGTGTTCCCCACAGAATCAGATAATTCCCATGTGACCTTATCTGTTCCGGTACAGAAGCCACTGAAGGCTTTCACCCTGTGCCTGCAAGTCTACACTGCCTTGGCCCGCCCCTACAGCCTCTTCTCGTACGCCACCAGGGCACAGCACAATGAGATCCTCCTCTTCAGTGAAAAGCCTGGCTTGTACAGCGTGTCTATGGGGGGATCTGATGCCTACTTCAGGGTTCCTGAGACTTTTTACATACCCAGGCACTTCTGTGTTACCTGGGAGTCCCAAATAGGGATTACAGAGCTCTAGGTGGATGGGAAGCCCATGGTGAGGATGAGTCTGAAGAAGGGATACATGGTGGGATCAGAAGCGAGCATCATCCTAGGGCAGGAGCAGGATTCATTCGGTGGGGGCTTTGGTAAGAACCAGGCCTTGGTGGGAGAGGTTGGAGATGTGAACATGTGGGAATTTGTGCTGTCCCCAGAGGAGAGCAGAGCTGTCTTCACCGGTGGGGTCTCCACCCCTAACTTCCTGAACTGGCAGAAACTCAAGTATGAAACACGAGGTAAAGTGTTCCTCAAGGACCGGCTGTGGTCCTGAGGCCCTTTTGTCTGTGCTGAAGTTGCCTCCTTTTGGGGGGGCGGTCACACTTACATTGCCCTGTCTCTTGCTCTCAGGAGTTTCTGTCCTACACACATGGCTCTGGCAGAGGGACCATATTTCCCTCTGCCTTCTTTACCCTGTTTTCCTCAGCACAAGTGAAGGGAAGAGGGGCTTTTTGTAGAATTACCAGGACACAGCCAAGGCCAGTTAAATCTGATTTTGGGAGTGGAAACCTAGCATCACAGGGATTCCAGTGTTTGGTCAAGGTGGAGAACTATGCATTTTCAGTATGTCTAGGAGCAAGTGAGCCATCTTTTTTTTTTTTTCCCCCCTCCTGGAAGACCGCCTGTGTTTACCAGCAGCCCCACTAACATCTACTTTTCCCTTTAAAGGCAAACCCACCCCCTCTGACTGTGCTTTAATGAATTAGCTGCATAATCCCGGAAGAGAGTTTTTCCAGCATTCTGACCACACTCACCCACTAGGTTGTGGCCATTATATGTTCGAATGATCTTTATTCTTTAATCCTGTCAATTTGAAGATTTAAAAATCTAAAAAGAAATGTTTTGCTGTTGTTCCTGCTTCGTGGGTTCTATTTTTTCCTCAGGACCACCAGTTTTCATTGTGTGATGTTTCCATTACTTCTCCTTACCTGTGTGCCTTATCCTTATCATGTGAGCTCTCACCTTTTTAAGCCTTTCTTCCGCACCATGGGTTCATTTTCCTGTTTGGCATACTGGGATCCTTCCTATTTCCCGTGCCACCAGAAATCCCATAGCACGTTCTGAGTCTGTCTGGAATTCCTTCTTGGACTTGAACATTCCTTCAACACTCACGTTTCATCCAGTCTCTGTTTCCCTCAGTTTGCTTGAGAGCTTCATGCTGTGTCAGATTTTCTCAATGTTCCCGTCATTAATCTTTTTGAACTAAATCTTTCACATGCCTTAAGTACTGTTCTTTCATGTCTTAGTACTTTCCCGTCATCCTGCTGCTCAAGGCTAGTGTGGGGGCGAGTTCTCGAGCCCCTGTGGGCTGACCCGGCCACAGTTAGACCCTTACAATGTCAGCTGGCTGCCTGGGGACTCCTTTTCATAGGAGGAGCTCCCAGTCCTGCAGCGCCCGCCCTGACAGCCTGCAGCTCCCCATCCAAGGGACCACCACCTCCCCCCAGTTTCCACCAATTGTCCCCCAACTCTCATAGGTGCACTTATTCAGTCATCTCTATCTTTGTTTCTCCATTGGTGTAGTAAGGAATGCTGGAGAGGACATAACAGCAGCTTGATCAAGCAAGACCAGGTCTTCTTTGTGAGAGGGTCCCAGGCAGGGGAAGCTTCCATCTGACTCTGACAGGCTCCTCCTTTTGGGAAGAGGAGGGACTTGTCCTGGTGTCTCTCCCAAGTCTGACATCCGCTGGTTCACAGTTCAGGGTCAAGTGTCCTATGCATTGTCAGCTCTGGCTGGGGCTCTGGGACCCCTCCTTCTCCACCAGGTGGGAGGTAAATGGAGGTTCTCCTTGCTTGGATCTGGGGGAGGGAGGTTTTAGGAAGGGAGGTTTTCTTACTTTGGATCCCAGCGGCATTCTCGGCCCACCACAAGGCTGGTGCTGTGATCCTTATTTGAGTCCCATTTCTATTCCTCAGTTCCTTTAGAATGTGCGGGAAAGGAGATGAGGCTGTCCCCTCAGAGCTCTAAATGCTGCACGGGGAGAAGGAAGCTCCTTCATCAGGAGGCCTGTACTTTCTTCACGTATGGCAGAAGGAAGCGGGGCCGGCAGGACTCCAGGCCTGTGAAAGCAGTAGCAGAATGGCAGGTTGCCTGTCACAGGGGATGGGGCTCACATCTGGAGCCAGCGCAGGCTTGCCCAAGAGTTCCAGCTCGGGAAATTGAGATGTTCCTCAGGGGTTGGGGCAGGTTCACCTCAAAATGAATGGAGTCCCGGTGCCTGGAATCTTTGGACTTTGCAGTGTGGGTGCCAAGCACTGAAAGAACTAGGTCCTGTTCCTCTCAATATGCTTTCCTTGTGTGCGGGTCAAAGACGGACTCTTGAAGGTCTAATCTATGCATCCATATGGCCTGTTGTAGTTCCTCGGAAGGCCCCGCCCCTTTTATCAGGGTTTAAGACAGCAGACCACCTGAGCTCGGACCTCGGCTCCATTCTTCAGTGGCACCTAACCTCAGGCAAGTTATTTAAAATGCTGTGTATCCTCCCGATTTCTTCATCTTTAAAATGGGACTAATGCTCCTGGCCGGCTCAGTTGGTTAAGCATCCAACTCTGGATTTCAGCTCAGGTTATGATCTTAGGGTAGGGAGATTGAGCCCGATGTCATGCTCTGCGTTCAGCAGGGAGTCTGCTCCCTGCTGAACAGCCCTCGGCTCTTCCCCCTAAAATAAATAAATAAATAAACAAACAAATAAATAAATAAAATCAATCTTCACAAAAAATAAAATGGGGATAATGTAGGGCCCCCTTTGCTGGTCCACAGCGAGTGCTCAAGTCATGTTATCTATGATTTGCTAATTATATCTATGATTTGCTAATAGTCATGATGGTGGATTTCAAAGACACAGACTCTGGATCAGAGACCCAGTAGGTTGAAGGGGTGCAGCAGTTAATAGATACAGAAGAAGGGGGTCTGCAGCCCCGAGGATGATCTGTCTGCTTGCCATGGAGAAAAACATCAGGGATACGATTACAGATTTATGGGATAAGGGGGCACATTTGGAAGGTCTCTCCCTGGGACGCTGTGGTTTCAGGAAACAGGTTCACTCAGAGGCAGAGTGAAGATACAGGGAGAGGAGAAGCGGCTTCCAAATTTGGCAGAAAACTCTCACTCTGATTTTTAGGGGGACACTGGAAACTCAGGGAGGAGGAAATCAACCTAAAAGGACAGGCTTTATGCTGCAGTGAACCACCAGGAGATGGGAAAGGTGAGGGGGTTCTGTGACCCACCTGCATGGGGCCACAGGACAGGAGGCCAGGTTCAGGGGGCAGCTGGCCTTGAAGGGCAGAGGGGCCACCTAGGAGGGGGTTGTCACAGGGAGCAGCACAACCACAAGCTTCTGGGGCAAAGAGGTGGGAAAGCGGGTGTCTTTGTCACTGAATACCTTGTCACGGTGGGTCTGAAAACTCTAATCTGAGGACAGGTGGTGGCCGGGGTGGTGCTGGGCTGGAGGACACAGGATCCCCACTGGACCCTGGAGAAAAAGCACTAACTACAGAGCTGCCGACCCTTTGCTGAGAGGTAAGGCTCAAACAGGAAGCATCTCCACACAGGCTTCCCTGTTGCCATTAACCAGAGAGAAGGATCTTCCCAGACGTAAAGGAGAGCCACTGCCTCCTTCTGAACGGCCTGCACAGGGTCCCCAACCCCCTAGAATTCACTGGAACACACTCTCTGGCTCTCAGGGCCCTGTGTATTCTGACTTGTTCCCCCTCTGTCCTGTCACCCTCCTGCCAGTTTGCCTGTTCATTTCCGCCACAAACAGGTGCCCAAATGTCTGCGGTGTGGCCGGCACTCACTTCAGATGCATGGGATAAGCAGGAAAGCCACAGAAACAAGAGCAGCAGAACCACACAGACGTGGTCTCAGTCACCTGGGACTTAGATTCCAGCAAATTTACACACGTGTGATGTGTTTCCATGAGGAGCTGGCATGTACTCTTTCTCTAGATCCTCACGTGGCAGGTTCCATATAATTTGTTTTCTTGATCTGTTCCTAGTTTCCGAGATGGTATCACTACCTGAAAAAAGCCTGGGGGTGTGGGTTTCCTTATTGTCCCCTCTTCCACTGGATTGCAAATTCCGTGAGAGCAGTGACATTATTGCCTGTTGTATTCCCAGTTTTTAGAGTGGCTCATAGTATGTTCTCCATAAATATTTGATGAGTTAATTAATTCTAGAGAAGGCAGCAGCAGGGAAGAAATGGTTCTTTTGCAGCGGAGGATGGAGAGATGCATAAAGAGTGGGTTGTTGTGAGCCCCTAATTTTGCTCACAGGATGGTCTGCTGTGTGTGACCACAACTTGCTCCTTACAGAAGGGAGGGAGTGGCCGGAGTCCGCACTGGATTCTGTGTGATGCTTTTGGAAATAAAGCAGGTAGGGAAATTGAAATTAAAAAAATATTAAGAATAAAAGTTGGAGTAGGCACTTAGGTTCTAACAGGAGACCTGAAGGTCTGCAACAAGGAAGTCCTGGCCAGTCATTAGGAGGTCAGAGGCCTGTCCTGGCAGCCCTCCACAAGAAGCCAGATCAAACCAGATGGGCCCAAGATGGTGGATGTCCTGACTGGAAACCCCTGACCAAATAAGGAAGAAAAAGCTTGAAACCCTGCTTCCCACCGCAAGTGATAAATACTCTGTCCCCTAGTTAAGAACTGTCAATAAAAGATAGAAAACCCAACCTCCAGGGCATGCGGGTCTCTCTCTCTCTCTCTCTCTCTCTCTCTCTCTCTCTCGGCTGCTTTCTTATCTCAAGAATATACTTTTGCCTTTAAAAAACTTGCCTGCTGTGTAACTTGAACATTGTGCTGCGTGTCTGTCCTTGAATTCATTCTCCTGACAAGACTGAGAACCTTCTGTGACTTCTTGGGGTCTGGCTGGGTCAAGGCTCCAGGGTCTGGGGTTTCCCTGGTTCAGCCGGCAACATGAGTAGGGCAGATAAAGGGTTGAAAAGTACAGTTATCCTGATGTGCACTGAGTAATGCATGGAATTGTTGAATCGTTATATTATACACCTAAAACTAATAACACTCTATGTTAACAATACTTCCACAAAAACAAGAGAAAAAAATTATAAGAATAAGTCCGGCAGGGGCACCTGGGTAGCTCAGTGGGTTAAGCCTCTGCCTTCGGCTCAGATCGTGATCGCAGGGTCCTGGGATGGAGCCACATGTCAGGCTCTCTGCTTGGCGGGGAGTCTGCTTCCCCCTCTCTCTCTGCCTGCCTCTCTGCCTTGTGATCTCTCTCCCTCTCTCTGTCAAATAAATAAATAAAATATTTAAAACAAACAAACAAATAAACAAACAAACAAAAAAC